ACCACTATGTAATTTCATTTCGCATTAATGGTTTGTTATTGAAACGCTCTGTTTATGTTTCAACCGATTATTTGGCATGCTTTAAATTTTGATTTTGGGCACCCATGTTTACTTACTGAGATATTTTATCTCACGACTTCCTTGTCCACCATTTCAGGTAGTGAGACCCGACACGTGGGAAGCTCAGGAAAGTGACAAGCTAGACGGCTAGGCATTTTTGGACTTAGATTTTGTAGCTAGGCCGTTAGTCACCCATGCTTGACTTAGAAATTTTTGTGTACAGAACTTAGTGTTAGTCATGACTGTATAAATGAAGTTATAAATCCTTGTACATTTTGGCGAGTGAATAGTTAGAAAGGAAAGGAAATTAGATATCACCTAAGTTTCTAAATCTGAATTATCTGAATTAGTAATATGAACTTAGTAAGTTTCGAGCCTTGTGCATTGTGGGACCCGTTCCCGAGTGCACGGCGTCTATTTCGCTCTCGGTTTGGGGCGTGACATAGATGTTGAAAGATAGATCATTGTAGACTAGATCCCCTTGGAGATACTCATGACCTTATTGATGGAGTTGTATAATTTTTTGTACTTTTGGCCTAGTAAAACTTTAGTTATTAAAAGTTAGATTTTATTTTGAGATTGTGGATCTTAATTTAGGTGGATTGATAGTTATGAGATATACATTATGAATTAAGTAGATTCCGAACCTTGTGCATTTGTGGGATCCTCTCACAACTATACGACGTTTGTTTCACTCTAGGTTTTGGGGCATGATAGTGTAAATCCAAATTTAATTAGAATTTGAATTAAAGTTTAAAAGTTGAATAAAAGCTAGGTAATAATATAATATATGAATTGGAATATTGTACTCCTCAATTTGAGGTGGGTTTTTAAACTCTAGGTCTATTGTGTATTTATTTGAGATTTTTTGAGTATCTTATATAGATTTATTGAGGATTTTAATGGCCCATTAGGTATTTAACTGAGATATATTGCTAATTTTAACAATTTTTTTTTTTTATTATAGTGAGATAGTAAGATATAAGTAAGGATCTACACTATAATTACACAAAAATCTTGATCATTCGTCTCTCTAATTTTTAATAGTTGAGATTTATTACCATTTTTTTGATAAAAAAAGATAATTATCTTTAATCAATATGATAAAAAATGAATAACCATTGAAAGTAGATAACTCTATGTGCGTATATATATATACATTACAACAAAAATATTGTAAAAATCATTGAAAATTAGGATTACTTGCAACAACAAATTGAAGTTGTCAAAAACAAAGTCAATCTAATTAACTCCCAAATTTTGAATAAAAGAAAGTCTAGAAAGAAGTTGAAAATAGCTTGCGTAGGAATCTTTCATCTATATATAAATATATGAATATAGAATAATGAGACAAATGGAAGCTATAAACTATTCTCTTTACCAAAGATATTCTTTAAGCTAGATAATACATTAAAGAAAATAATTGAAAAGATATTTTATACATACCCAAGAGAATGCATATTACAAAGGATTTAAGTTGAAGAGTAGTTCCTATAGCTTTATACAACCTTTAACTTAGACTTGGCAAACAGGTGGGTTAGGGTCGGGTTAGAATAAGTCTCAGGTCAAAACGGATTGGGTTAAAACGAGTCATGGGTCAATGAAGGTTAACCCTAACCCACTCATCATGGGTCATGGGTCAACCCGTAAGTTGACACAATTGAATTTTTTTTCCTTTTTTCTCTATAATTTATACATATTATCATCCAAAGAAAATTATTCAAAAGATGTAAAAATGAAATTCAACATCTTATAAAAAGATTTTATAGTTGCTTAGAATCACCTTCTTCGCTCCCCTTCAAAGAACAACGCTCATCAAATTCGAGAACACCACACACTTAAAAATCTCGATAGCCAAAAAAAAAAAAAAAAGTAGTAATAGCATGACAACCAAAAAACACAAACCCCATTGGAACATATTTGTTTTGGTCATTACTTTCAAAGAATCAATCAATTGAATGCATCTAAGTAAACAAAGGAGAAGGTCAAGTAGAATTATTACTTGGAATGGAAAGAAAACTAAAAAGCATAAATAAGTAAACAACTTACCTTGAAGGCTTAAGAATGAAAAGCTGGTGACAAAGAGAGCACTTGTTGGACTCGAAAAAGAAAGAAAGAAAGGGCTGAGTTGACATGACGATGACTCAGTGAGATTAAGATTTGAGTCTAAGATGATGTTAAAGATTAAAGAGAAAAGATAGAGTTGAAGCTTGAAAGTTGAAGGCTGTATGGACTATGAAGGTTGAAGAATATGAGAAGAGTTTAAACCTTGAAGAGTTAGAATCTTAAAGAGTAGTAGGGCAAGCAAGAGTAGGAAAGGTTGGGAGGTGAGTCATGAGTTGGAGTGGGATTATTTTTGTTTTTATAGGATGATGAGCTAAGAGAATCAATTAGCTAATTAGGAAAAATTAGTCAATTATTAAAGGTGTATGTGAGATTAGGAATTGGAAAAAAATAATAATAAATTAAAAATTTTTAAATTTTCAAATGGATAAATGGGTCATGGATAAATGGGTCAAATCCGTTAACTTAATGGGTCAACCTGTTATTGACCTATGACCCATCAACTTCTCTTAATGGGTCATTAACGGGTCATGGGCCATAAATATCTGACCCTAACCCATTTTAAATGGGTGGGTAATGGGCGGGTTAGTGGGTTAGTGGGTTGGGTAAAAAATCGCTAGGTTTACCTGAACTTTCTCTGAACTCTCTTTTTCACTCTTTCTATTTCCCTCTTTTTCCACCTTTTGCTTCTTTACGAGAAATCTTCTACTATTTATAAAAGAAAAACTAGCCTAGTTTATTGAAAAGTAATTATAATAAAATTAACTCTAGTTACAAAAAAGTAACTATGGTTAACTAACCCTAGGTTTATTTATAGAGATAACCATAGTCAGTTGTTTTTATCTTTTTGGAAAGATAAAAAGTGGCCAACTTTTGAGGACCATGTCTCATGACAATCTTTTGGGGGGAGGCATGCTTGTTCCTTTGTCTAATTCAATTACTATCCCTCAATTTGATTTTCAAGATTTTCCCATCCAACTGAGTCAAGATCATCATAAAAAGTTGCCCCATCATCTAGGTCATCATTGTGAAGGTCGCCACCCATGTTGACTCTAACTATACAATATTCAAATTAATCTTCACCATTTTTATACTCCTTGAAGTAAAGATGCAATAGTTAAGTGTAGCTTGTTTAAGGTGCAAAGGGAATCTCTCTTAAACTCTAGTTGTGGATAAACACATTAGGATCAAGATAAATTTTCAAAATATTATCCTTAGTGAAATGGGTATATCCAACTATAAAATCATCTGCCATGACCTGCATGTGTGCCATTGTTCTAGCTTTCCAATGTTTAAGTTGTTTTGTGAGGGACTAAGTAGTGGATGGCCAGACTTGAACATCTTTATAAAGAGGTGGTAAACTGCTTTTTCTTCTTAAAATAATTGTGTTGTGCTAGAAGTAGATGTTTACCTTTCCATTCAAGTGCCTTGCTCTAAATCAATGTCTCAACATAGTTGGGAGGTATGCTTTCTAAGACAACCATAGCAAATTTTCTTCCAACAAGATTTGTATCCTTAATTTTTGTAAAAATTACTTGATAGAGAAAACCATAATCCAGGAGTAACTGTGGGGTAAACTCAATAATTTCCCTTTCAAATAAAATTGAATTAGATCATAAAAGGATAAGTCCAAAGAAACTCTACAAATGTTATAAACGAGTTGACATTGACAGTCAAATCATTCAAGAGGAACTCCTTCAACAATTTCTCCTTCACACCTATGACATAGTTTGAGTTTTCCTTCTATAGTAGAACAATAGGTATCCTATGTAAAGCTTATGCCAACTCTATTGATACCATCTTGATCTATTTGTTGAAGGAATTGTTGAATTGCCTTCAATTTGATGTGACTTGAGGCTTTTGCTTTTTGAAAGATTAGTTGTCTAGAATCTTTTAGTAGCTTGAGTAAGGGAACACTTGGATTGAAATACATCTTAAGTTGCCTCTAAGTGTCATCCACTAATAGAATAGATGTAGAAGTGGAAAAGGATCCTTCAATTAAAAATTTATTAATTTTAGTGGGGGAATTAATTATCTTCCACCAGCCAGTGGAGCTAAGGTGGTGTTCACTATCTCACTTGAAGGTTCTTGCAAATCTGGAGAAAAATAAGGGTTCATGAAAAGCTATCTCTAAGCTGCTTTTGAGCACATTGAATAGCATCTTCAATTAGATAAAATCATTTATAGAGTGGTTTTGTTGAAATATTGTATTTGGAACAAAATTTCATCCCACTTCTTATAAACTCCAAGGGTTTTTCCCTTGATTAGAACATAACAATTAAACTTATTATATTTTTTCAAATACTAGGCTAAAGTTTTTTAAATTATTCTCAGAAAAGTTCAAATTGCCAAAGCTCCCCTACATGTGGTTCAGGAGTTGACCAACAACTAAATCCAAATTAAGACCTTTTGCACATGACCTAACTCTAGACGTATTGCCTCTATTGTTGGTTTTTCTTGAAGTCGAGCATCTCATTCTAATCTTGAACAAGAGAATAATGAATATATCTACTTAGTCAGTTAGCAAAATAATTATCTTTACTTTTAATATGTTTAAATTTTACTTTAAAACCATTTCTAGTTATAATATTTACGAAATTCATCCATCATTTAAAACAAAGGCTTTTTTTCATTTTTCTTTTGAAAATATTTTATAATTGCTTGAAAATTTGATCTTATTGTTAAGATATCATTTTGTATAAAAAGTTCAAAAGAATTTAAAGCATTTATTACTCCTAATATTTCAAAATCAAGTGATGTTAAAGAATTTTTACTTTCTCTGTACAATCCACTAAAATATCTACAAATCTTTTCATCTTTCTGAGATGAAAATTCATTAGGTCTAACTAGCAAAATTGCTCCCCATCCTTCACTACTACTGTTGGTTTCGACTATTTTGTAGTTTGATTCCAATAGTAGAGATATAAAGGGCAAATTTTTAACCTCATCTTTTTTTCTTTTTTTTTTTACAAGTTTGATGTCTTCACTATCAAAAAACTTATCCTTTGGGACTCAATTTTGCATATAATGGTCTAGTCAACTTAGATAAGTCTTTTATATACATACGGACATAATTAAGTATACCCAAGAATTGATTTTGATGAGAAATTCAAAAATCTTCTTTAACTATGTGATCTTGTAACTGAATTTTTCCCTATCCAATCCTCATTCCTAAAAACTCAATGTACTCTTTGTAGAGTTCCATCTTCTTTCTAGAAATTATAAGGTCATTTTTCAAGAATTCAGTAAAAACAATATGAAGGTGTTTAATATGCTCAGTAGTAGTTTAGCTAAAGACCAGAATATCATCAATATATACTAAAATGAAAGTATAATATTTTTTGAATATCCGATTCATCTTTTTTTGGAATATGGAAGGTGAAATCAAAAGGGCATGATTTGCCATTCAAAATGTCCTTCGAGACAAGTGAAGGCAGTCCATGGAATGGATTCTTTTTCCATTTTGATCTGCCATAAACCAGACTTGCAATCAAACTTATTGAAAATTTTTGAATTTTGAATGCAATTGATTAGTTGGTCTTTATTTGGTATCTTATATGCATTTTCATAACTATTATCATTTAGCCTTCTACAATTTATTACAATCCTACCTTTTTCTCGCTTAATTTCTACATGATTTCTTGCCATGAAGGCTACAAAGGAATACCTAGAATTGGAATGCTTTATTAACCCTAAGGTTAAAAGTTGTTTTATTTGAACTTCAAATTATTATCTACCAAGTGGACTGTGATCCATCTTGCCACAAGTAATTCTTAGTTCTGGATTTATTATATCTAACTTTACTATCCATTTATTTTGATCCCAATATTTGATTGGGTCTTCTCCTAAGACTGAGTTTCATCAACTAGTTTGATTAACTCATCTAGATCCCTTTTTTTTTTTTTGTAATTTTTATTTTCTCTTCTGTTTTCTTCTTTTTGCAAATTTGAAAGACCTTTTTCTATATTTACATATACTTCTTCTTCATCACTAGTTAAATTATCAAAAAATTGATAATGAATAGAATCATTAAATACTTCCAAAGTCTCTTCTAAAAGACTAGTATATCATCAAATTCTAATAAATCATCAAAAAACTTTTCATCACTACTTAAATAATTACTATTATATTCAGAATATTTATTTAACTTATGTTGGATTTGTTGGGGTGTTATTTCCTCTGTTTTTGGAAGTCTCATGACATATTTATCTGTTGGGGTATAGCAAGTTTGTTTTGCAAATTGTACTCCATCAAATGAAATTGTCATTTGGCCCTAAAAGTGAATGATAAAATTTAAGCCAATTATAAAGGGATAATTATTTTGGATATTATATACAATTACTTAAGGTAATATGTACCTTTCTCCAAAAGTTTTTGATCCCCAATCCTAGAAAGCAATTTTTTCATCCTTTAAGCATTTATCATATTTGAGTTGAGTTCCATCCATTTGAGTTCCATAAACAATTTTTATTTGTGATACTTGTGAACTCAGAATCTCAACTTCGAGGATGTGAGACTTTGATGCTCTTGTATCAATCATTCTTAAAATTTCTTTTGTTTCTCCATTTTTAAAGGTGATTGAACATAGTATGTTGAGAAAAGAATTTGGATATTTGGGATTTGTTCAAACATTAGCTAATAAAGTAGAGATTTGATCTTCTTTATCTGTTGTTTGCTCATTCGCTTCTTTTCCTTTGAGAGGAATTTTTGCTAATTGATTCTCCAATTATTTTATTTTTTGGTGGAGAAATTCTAATTGTTCTTCTAATTGTGATATGTACATTTCTCTTCATTGAGAGTTTCATTCATTGATTTCATTTCTTATAATAGAGACAATTTTTCTACATCTTTGATTAATTGTTTCATTTAATGTGGAGATAGGCATCTAATCTACAAGTTTTGAAGGCTGTACCTATTCAACCTTTTCTTTTGCTTTTTTTGTAATAAAATATACAATATGTTTTTGAGCATATTGTACATTTCATTTTTGTAGATGGTTTGTGAACCTATGGCACTCTAAACATTTTTTCCATTGTCATGGTTGGTTTGATTGCTACAAGTATTAACAATTAGAATTAATCTTGATCATCGTGATTCTAACACTATTTAATTTTTTATCAAGAGAATCTATAAATTGCTGAAGATTTTGATCTATAGAATCTATATCTTTTGATTTAGAATTAGATTCAAACATATCTTCTATAAAAACATCCTCTGAAATGATGCTATAAACATCACTTTCGGGTTCATATCATGTTATAAATATAATATCTTCATATTCCTCAATATTTGCCCATATGTGAGATTTTTCTATGGGTTTGTTTTTATTTGCACATCTATTTGCGTAGTGTCCTAGATCTCCACATATATAGCATTTTTTATCCTTCTTTGGATTTTTGGATTCACATATTTCTCCTTTTTACTAATTGTCCCTTTTTTGATGGTTCTACTTGCTCTAAGGGTATATGTTTTCTTTTTAATGAATCTTTTGGGGTTGCATGAAAAACATTCCTTTTGGGATTTTTTTTTTTTTTGTATCTTTTTTGCCTATTATATGATTCTTTTGAAGAACCATTTCCTCTAATTATAGATTTACAAAAACCAAAATTTTCCTTTTTAAGAGATTTTTGGATTTGAATATTTACACACTTTTCTCTTAATATTTTATATATAAACAAAATCCTAAGACTTGCTCCTTGTTGAGGTGCAAGGTTAGATGCTAACCATTTTTCTTTGATTTGTTTACCAAGGGTGCTTGGTAACTTATCAAAGATTCTATTATTCAAATTATCATCAAATCCTTGTCTTGTTCTAGCAATGAGTTTAAGAAAATCATGGCCAAAGGACTTGATTTGATACCAAGACGTTAGTTAAAGGACTTCAGGTTCCTTAATAGCTTTATTTTGTAAAGTTCTTTTAGAATCAATAGTTATGTTAGATCCTAAGAACAACTTTTTTATTAAAGAAGTAAAATTGTATGGATTTTCTCCCAAGTCTTTTGTTTCAGTAACTAGAGTTAAGTTTTTCTCTTTTAAAGGTGTTTCGATACAATTCTACAATTGGGCCTAAAAGTGTTTATAAGAATTCAAACATCTTACCATCCATAGATTTATTGATCCTTGCTCAGCAAGCATCTCTTTCCCATTGATCTATTATTTCTGCCCATAGTTGTGGATTCCAACTTAGTAATTCCAAAATAGTCCTTTGCTATTTTACAGCAAGTAACTGATTTGGGTCAATTTCCATTCTTTTACCAAATTATATCCGTTCCCTATTTTCTCCCCTATACTCAAGTGATGCCTAAGGTATGGGATATCTTCCTCCTAACTAATCTATTCTAGATCCAAAGACTCTAGATGTTATAGGAGTTCTAGAATTGTCCTCAATTTCAGATCTAGTTGGAGCACTAGGGTTCTAATTGGGATTTAGATTTGGATTATCAAGGGTTACATTCATGGATATTTTCTCCTATTGGGATTCATATTCATAAATAATTTAAAGTATGGGTTTATGATTTTTGAAGTAAGCCTTGATTGGAAGTTCTAGGTCTAGAATTTGATCTTCTATGTCCTCTCCATATTATTTTAGAGTTAAGACTTTTTCAGCATTAACTTCTTTTTCGTTTGAGGAAAAGTGAGTTTCAATGAATTGCCATTCTTCATTATATTTATCTTTAATTGGAACCCATTTTGCAAAATGTTCCTCCCTTTTCCTTAAGGTTTGAAGCCAAGAAGGTTCACTCTCTTCACTTTCGATTTCTTCAGTGAAGTGTAATGTCTTAATTTCAATATTTTCTTCATTTTCTTGTTTAGGAAGAATATTTTCATACTCATTAAAGCTCAAACTCGTTTCTCCCTTATAATTTTGATCTAAGGTATTTTGAGTGGGTATCATTATGGGTTTACTCAGGAATTTGGTGATGTTCCATTCAGTTCCAGTTAGATAGGTTGAATCTAAATGTTTGGCTTGAATGGCCTTAATTCCCTTTGTCCCATATATTTCATATATTTCTTTACTAGTTACTCTATAATTGGTGGTACCATTATGAGTAATTTGGTAGTGAATCTTATGCAAACTAAAAGATTCTTTTCTCCCTCAGCCATGGAATAGACTGTTGTCATGATTTCTACCTTTATCAATTGCTTAAAGGCTTTTATATCCATTTGAAAATTGAGAGTAAAATAAACAAATCCCCCTTGTTTTGATTGGTCTATTTCGATAGATCTTATAAAGGCTTGGACCATATTTTGATGTCTTGTGTCTAAAAGAGTTAAAAGGCATTTTGACCTAAACCCTTCTATGAAGTGTTTTGACTACTATGGTGATCAACCATATATGTACTAATGAATATTTCATCTTTTTGAGATTAAAATATCCATTTGCACTTACCAGTCTTAGAGTGACACTATCATTGTTTTTGACACAAGATATTTGAGCCTCTTGATAATGCTAAAAAATTGATCCAACACTAAACAAGGAATTAGCATTTTCATAAATATGCTTGGGTTTAACCAAGTCAAATTTGTGAATTTTAAATATTTTAATTTGTTCTTCAAGATCTATTAAGGTTCTGACCTTTACAGATTCTTGAATTTGTTTTCCCTTAGAAAACATCATAATCAAAGGGTTGCTTGTGATTTTAGATGATTCCATGCATTTTAGATTTTAAGGTAAGACAATACAATTTCTTAAACTAGAGACTTTAAGTTCTTTGGCCTTCATGTTGGATACAGATGAAATATTAGATTTTATCTACATAAAATCCTCTTTTATGTCAAGGGTTCTTAACAGATCAAATTTTTGACTTGCTTCTTGAAAAAGGTCTTGTCTCTTAAGTTTCTTGAAATATTCTTACTATTCTTAAGTGAGTAGCTTTTAAAATGTCTATATATATATATATATATGAAGAGAGATTCATTTATATACAAGTCTTATATATTACACTTATATAAAATCTCAACTAAAATCTCAACCATTAAAAGTGGAGAGATGTGATGGTTGAGATTTTGTGTACGTGTAATGTATAAAACTTGTGTATAAGTAAATCCTTACTCATATATATATATATGTATAAGATTTATATATATCAAACTAGATTACACATTAAAAGTGCAGTTTCAATACTAAAATTATTAAGCCATCCTCAATAAATAAAAGTTTTACTAAGAGTATTTTAATAATTTTAATAATCAAATTGTACTTTTAATGTACAGTTCAACTTGAAAAACATTTGTTTATATGTACATAAAGCCACGATCCTATGTATGTGAAACAAAAAGAGAATATGAGATAAAAATTTGCTATTTTGAAGGCCAACGGTGTAATTAAACTCCATTAACATGGATAGGTTGTTTCGGACTATGAATGTAACTTCAGAAACAAATCCTAGTAGTAATACGTGGGATCACGTGACAAGACTTGCCCCTTACTCTTTTTGGCTGGCATGAATTTACTGAATTAGCGGTGAAACTATATGTCAAAATGCATAACGTTATAGCTACTCTTTTTCTTAATTTGATTGCAAATGAGAGACAACTCTTTTCAATCTTTTATTCCATTCCATCCTATTTTTACACAATTTAATTTAAATTTAAAATATCTTCTAACAAAAAGGAATTACTATTGAATTATTTAAATCATTAATATATTGTAACTACTCTTTGTTATTTGGTAACAATCCAAAAGATTTAATTTCATTTATTTTATAATTAGTACGATGCCCATGCTAATAGAAATCGTCCTAATATTACTTTCATTCTTCGTACTCCATTCATTACCAAAAAGATAAATTCATTCTTCATAATTAGTTAACTTCACTTAAGAAGGTTATGAACGAAAATTGAATTTATTCATTAACCTTTGAAATAGAAAACTTAGAAGTAGAAATTCTATTGTATCACATATATTTATATCCCATTTATAAAAATATGAATTCAACTATAGAGCTATGATATTAATTTTGACATTACCCACAATTTCTTGAAACGGAAATTCAAACTCATTTCTTTATTATGAGACTCTAATTTTTTTCTTTTTTGAGCAAATCAAATTAAAAACTTAAAACAAAAAAGAAAGGAAATTAAAGAGAGTTGCATTAATGCACATGCCTTATTTCCTCTTCTTGATTATATCTATTTCTAGCAAGAGAGTAAAAATTAAAAAAAAAAATGTGTTTTGTCATCACATCAGAATCAAGAATTTTCTCCTCAAAATGTAACATTTTCATCTTAGAAAATTTATGTACTTAAGTTAGTACATGTTACTTTTGAAATTAAGGATCTCTTGGTTTGAAGATCAATTTATTAAGAAAATTTTTACTGAAAAGTAGATAAGAAAATATTACACAAAAATTATAATATATAAAAAGTTATTAAATTTTATAATAAAGTTTTTTTTGAAATATTGTTAGGTTATTAATTTTATTATATTTGGTAAGAAACTATTAAGTGAGCATAATATAAAAAAAGTTATATGAAAATTTTCTTGAAAAAAAGATTGAAAAAAAATTTTATAGGTTGGGAATTATAAAAGGGATAAAACTACTTGAAAAGTCATTTTTATTCTTATTTTATTATAATTTTAATATATAAAAATTCATAATTAACCTCTAAAAAATTTTTAAAAAAAATTTAAGGGAAAGTTGCTCAAACCTAACAGTCCCTAAAAAAAATGGAGAGAGAAAAAGGAAATGCATTAATAGACTGAAATGTGATGCAAAAAGAAGGCCACGTAAAAACCAACATACAAGAGAGAGAAAAGAACCTGAAAGAGAAGCTGAAGGGGTTGGAGCTGCCGGTCCTCCTCTTTGACTATGAGATTGAAGATAACGCCTTTCCCTGAGCTTCTGCACCATCATCACCCCCACCAGCGAGGCCCCGAATGCTAGAAGCAGCATCACAACATGCGGCCTCCATCTGCTGGCGTCGATATTGCTCCCATTCCCCTTATGATGCCTCTCACAGCCATCTAAGAAATTAAGGAAAGGAAATGGAATTTTGTTTCTCTTCTTCTTTTGTCTAATAAATAAATAGGAGTAGGAGGGTGTTATTGCTTGTCATGTAAAAAGAGATATCCAACTATGTAAGGATAGGTCCGAGATCTTTAACTTCGAACGTACCGCTACAGTTCCTTAATAACTGAAATGAAGTTAAATCCAACACTTCCTGGTTAAATGGCTGCACGATAAATACAGTAAACATGCCTACACCTGATTTGCATAATTTTTTGGTCCTAAAATTATCGCCTGAAGGGACACGTCATACTTCGATCTTGTTAAGCAAGCCACGTGAGTACCTCACTCAGGCCTATAAATACCCCCCAGGGGCCACCTCAGAAAGGTAATTGAAACCAACCTAAAGCTCTTTTTTTCATTATTCTAAAGGCAGATCTGATTATTGCTAACTTAAGTATCGGAGTGTTTACCCTGAGGACCCACCTCGGGGCTTTGCAGGTTCATTTGGAGTGAAGACATGGACTGAAGAAGGAATTCTAGTTTGGTGCAATTACATTGGCGTCGTCTGTGGGAATCGAGTTAAAAGCCTTTTTGTTGCTTTCTCATCATGGTCAACTCTCGATCCGTCCGAGCTGGAAGTCAGGCTCAACCTCTTGGGCAGGGTCAAGTTCACTACCCCAACAACCTCCCACCTCAGATCCCAAATCCACTCCCTCCTGTTGAACATGCAGAAGGAGGAGATGAAAATCAACCTCACAACTCAGCTCACAATTCAACTTCCACCCCTAACCAAGGAGATGCAGTCATAGCTCAGCTTTTAGCTCGGAATAATCCTGGTGATCCTCTTATCAATCTACTTAACCTTACTTAATAACCGCTTGTTCAACATCAAGACCCTCAACCAGTTCAACATGCTCTTACTCTTAGTGAGTCTCAAGGTGAATCTCACGTTGCCTCAACTCAACAACATCTACCTGATGATGTCACACGACATCTAGACAGTTTAGAAAAAATGGTAGCTGAGTAGCAAGGTGCCCCACCTCCCCACCATAACACTGATTCCATACCTCATCCTCTGAACATTAATATTACATTGGAACCTTATCCTACTAGTTTCAAAATACTTCAGCTCGAGACATATGATGGAACGAAGGAGTCACCTCCATGCCTTCTACTCTTGTATGCAAGCTCAAAATGCCTTTGATGCGTTGATGTGCAAAATCTTTCCCTCCACTCTCCGCAGTAATGCTCGAATATGATACCATAGTTTGCCTCCAAAACTTATCAGCTCTTATACAGAAATGGCATCTGCTTTTGCTATAAAGTTTTCCAGTAGAAGGTTGATTAGGAAAACCACTTTTGAACTAATGCGAGTCAAATAGAGAGATGGAGAATCCCTAAAGAATTACATGAGCAGGTTTAATGATGCAGTCCTCGAAGTCAACTCATTCAACCAAGCCGTAGGAATTGCGGCTGTAATTCAAGGTCTCCAACACGAGAGAATCAGAGATACCTTAATTAAGCATCCTGCGGCTATTTTTAATGAGGTTAATGACAAATCCTTGAAATTCATAATTGTTGAGGAATATGCCTTATCACAAAAACTAGTTCTCCCCAAGAATCAAAACCTAGATTAGAGAGATAAGGGTCAGAACAGAAAACGGATGAAGACAGTATAGAGCCAAGATCCGATGTTGACCTCCACATCGAAATTCAGAAAGCCGAACTTGGTACCCCCCAGCAGATTACCAATAAAGCACCAGTTACATGGACTCTTTTCAATCTGCCAAGGTCATAGATATTTATGCAGATCAAGAATAAGATGGATTTGAGGTGACCACGGCCAATGAGAAGTTCTGCTGCTACACGTGATCATACTAGGTATTGTGATTTTCATTAAGATCACGGTCATACGACAGAGGAGTGTAATAGTCTAAGGTCCGAATTAGAAAGTCTAGCTCAGAAGGGAATGCTAAATGAAAACATCCAGAGAACAGAGCATCCCAAGTTTGTCAGAGAGCAAGGGCCACAACCATAGGGATCTCGTAATGTAGGAAGCAAGCAAGGTGTGGGATACCAACAAGCCCCACCTTCACTCCCACCACTGGCTAGAATTATACACATGATTACTGGAGGATTGGAAGCAGGGGGTTTAAGCTCCAAACAACGAAAATTGAATGTCAGGGAGGTGAAACATCAAAACCGAGCTAAGAAATGAAAATTTGATGACGCTGACTGGAAGAATCAACTCATCACTTTCACATTTGCTGACTTCGATAGAGTTATCACACCCCATAATGACCATTTGGTCACTTCCGTTACGATTAACAATTGTGAAGTACAATGTGTCCCTGTTGACATAGGGAGTGCACCAAACATTATGTATTTTCATTGTTTTGAGAGTCTAAGACTAGATTCAGCTCTGTTGTAGAGGTACGATGATCCCATATATGGATTCAATAACCAACCTATTCAGGTAGAAAGAGTCCTTACTCTCAATCAATGTTTTTGTACCCGGCCCGGTGGTTGACCTGTTTTGGCCACCGGGTCTGGTTCAACCGGTTGAACCAGTTCACCCGATCGATTCAACCGGTTGACTAAAAACCTTTTTTTTTTTTACATTTTTACACCCGAGGCAAAGGCAAATATGCAAATGAAAATCTATTCTATCAGTGGAAGAAGGAGAGGAAAGGTAACGGCGAAAGGCTGAGATCTGGGGAGGCAGTTGTGGAGTCGCCGACAGCTGAGATCGGGGAGGTAGTTGGCCGCCAGTGACTTCGCTGCTTTGTTTTCTTTTTGCTTTCTGGTTGCTTCTGCACAGAGATGAAGGGTGTGCATTCTGGTTTTGCTTTTGCAGAGACAAAGGACTGGAAGCCGCAGACGGAGGCCACGAGTGAGCAGCAGGTTCCCGATTTCTGGCTGAGATCCGAGGAGGCAGTTGTGGAGTCGTCGATGGCTGAGATTGGGGAGGCAGTTGGT